GCACATGCTCGACTAATTCCCGTCAGGATTTAGACGACTGGGTTGTTCGGGGATGTGCATGCTGCCTCTTCTGGGATTGTTCGGCAGTTGAAGAGGAAGGCCATTGTCTATGTTTTTCTTTCCTAATCAGCACTAACTGAACCTTTGCTGAGGCCACATTAGCGTAGTGAACTGTGGGTTGGCATCCATGAGGCCGCAACAGCGGCGCCGCTGCGCCACAGGGCCTCAAAAGCTTCAAGCTTTCCAGGCATCATCCCTGAGGAGCCTCTCCGCTGGGATATGGGCTTCGACGAAACGTCGGCGGGGGGCCTGCGCTGAAGGCTATGAAGCAGTTGTCAGCACAAGATGTCTGCCCAGACTTGCTCAGGCAACAGCTTTGGCGCTGGTTGGGATGATACTGCTGGAGCTGGCAACCTCGCAAGGGCACTGCATACCCTGCCGAAATCACCTCTTGACCACGGCTGAGGCTGCAACTTTGGCGCAGGGGCTGCCGCTGCGCTGGGAAGCCTGTGCACACAAGGCTCTCTTCAGCTCCAGGCCCTGAAGACACCATACTACAGAAGTTTGCTCTCTCTCCAAAAGCAGTAACAGCTTGCACTTCAACACTCATCCGAGGCCATCGCTTAGGCGGCTCGGGGGGCCTTGAAGCAAAGTGAAGCTCTTGGGCCCCTGTTCTGCGAGTAAAGCTGATTGGTCTGTCTGTTTTGCATTGCATGGCTTTGGCCATCAACCCTAGACTTCCGACGGGACCTAGACTGTTTAAATCGTGGAAATGCGCCCACGCTGCTATCCCAGGTCTAAACCCCAGACCCTTAGCTTTCTTCATCTGCCCTGCTCTTGAATGCAGTTCTTGTCCATGCGCTTATGCTCTGCTATGATTGGCACTCTGGAGTTTCTAGAGTCTTTATCCCAAGCATCCTCGGTGAGTTTTTGGCATGACTAAGGCGATGGGGGGAACATGCTATGCAAAGGGGAGGGATTGCCACTCGGGCCTTCAAAACCTAAGGCCCCCTAGTTTGAACTCACCTGCTGGACCTCTAAAGGTCTTGTCTCACCATATTTCCCCCAAATCCCGTGGACCTCTTGTTGAGAAGGCTAGTCTACACTGTTGGTAATTCACACACAAGCCATGCATGCATGGAGGGTTATGCACTGTCATGCTCTGCATCTTTCATTTCAACAGGGATCCTACTGCTGCAGCGCCTTTTGGTAGAACAGAAAGTACAACAACAAAACA